TATGCTGTGCCAGAATGGTTTTTTCTTCATCCTGATTGGTTGAGAGTCTTGGTCTGTGTTTATTGGTCTTGGAGTTTGCTGTGTTCTGCTTGATTGGTGTTTCTAATATCTTCTGCCTCTTTTGTAGCTTTTTTTTTTGTCTTGATTGGCTGGCAACATTGTGTTTCCTGTATGGGAGGCTTTTGGTGTGGCTTGGCTCCGAGTAAACGGACGGCTATCATTTATTAGGAAGCTAGGTTTCATCTGGGTGCCTGGTTGGGGTGTGTTTGAGCTGGAGGTATCAGGGGGAGTCTGTTTGTGCCCAGGTGTTTGCCTGGCTTGTGGTGTGGATATTTTTTTGTTTGAGAGTGCAGGCTTCCAGATAATTGACAGTCTGGTGGAGTCATCTCTTCTATTCATGCTTTCAGGTCTTTTTTCTTTTTTCTTTTTTTTTGATTTTTTTTTTATTGTTTTAACAACAAACAAAAACACATAAAACATAAGACATAAAACATAGAAGCATCATCATCCTTCATAAATTTACAAACAGTGTATCGGTTGGTTTACCACCTTTTTTTGTGCATCCATTTCATAGTCTCCATTGTAGTTGTGTTACAAAATAGCTCATATTATCAATCAACAATTATATAGCTTGATATCATTATTAAACAATCATTTGACTATAATTTTATTAATTCATACTTTAACGAGATAACTATGGTTTACTTAATTTATTTTATAGCAAATCATAAAGTCATACCAAGTCTATCTTAATAAAATTTTGTAAAGATACTATCAAAGAAAAAGAAAAAAGTTTATATTCATTATTTCCTAAGTTTCTAAATATTCTATTATTATATTTTATTATCTAACCATTGATAGAAAAGGTCCCAAACTTCATAGAATTGTTTATCTTCTTGTTCTCTAATTTCAAATGTCAATCTACTCATTTCAGCACATTCCAATATTTTCTTGATAATTTCTTCCTCTGATGGTATTTTCTCACTCTTCCAATTTTTAGCAAATACAATCCTAGCCGCTGTTAATACATTTACAATCAAATACTTCAAATTTTTATTATATGTATCAGGTAAGATTCCCAATAAAAAGATCTCTGGTTTCAAATCTATATGTTTCTTTGTCATTTTTTCCAACCATATGTGAATTCTAGTCCAATATTTTCTAGCGTCCTCACAAGTCCACCACATATGGTAATATGAGCCAGGTATCTGATGACATTTCCAACATTTTTCAGATTTATTCTTGAACATTCTTGCTATTCTTGTCGGGGGAAAGTGCCACCTGTAAAACATCTTATACAAATTTTCTTTATATGCTGTTGACATTGTCATTTTATAATTTTGAGACCACAATTTTTGCCATTTCTCTAAATCAATCCCATATCCAAAATTCTTCCCCCAAGCAATCATTGTTTCTTTAACTTGTTCTTCCTCTAATTTAATTTCCAGCAAATAACTATATAATTTTTTTAATCACTTTTTCATCAGTACCTGTCAAAATCCTATCTAGGTCAGTCAATTTATCATAAAATCCCTCTGTTTTAGAATCTTTAAGATACCTTGAATGTATTTGTGCATATGAAAACCAATTCATCTTTATACCTTGTTCTTCTAGATTTTGCATCGTTTTAAGTTCACCCTTTTCATCCAATATTTCCCCATATCTAACTGTTTGTTCCTTCTTATATATTATAGGATAAGAAAAAGCTTCAATAGTTGATAACCAAACTGGGATTTTCAAATAGCATTGTTTCTTAATTTTCTCCCAATTCAACCATAAAGACTCCCGTATATAATGCCTTCTAAAATAACCCTGTGATTTAGTTCCCTTATACCACAGAAAAGCATGCCAGCCCAATAGTAAATCATGTCCTTCTAATGTCAACAATCTAGTCTTTCTTAATGTTATCCATTCTTTAACCCACATTAAATTTGCAGCTTGGTAATACAACTCCCAATTAGGAAGGCCAAATCCTCCTCTGATTCTAGCGTCTTGTAAAAGTTTTAATTTTATTCTCGCTTTCTTGCCTTGCCATATATACTTCAACACAATTTTATTTAATTCTTCAAAGTAGTCTTTGCCAAGCCTAATTGGTATTGTTTGAAACAAATATAAAATTCTGGGTAAAATATTCATCTTGATTGTTGAAATTCTACCTATCAATGACAATTGTAGATTTTCCCATTTCTTCAGATCAGATGCTATCTGCTGTTTAAGCTTAATATAGTTATTCTCTTTTAATGTAGTACATCTTGTACATCCCCAAGTATTTAACCTTGTTCGTAACTTGGATTTTCAATAAGTCTGCCAGTTCTTCTCTTTGTCTTAATAACATGTTCTTTGTCAGAATCTTTGTTTTATCTTTATTTATTTTCAAGCCAGCCATCTCACCATACATCTCTATCTTTTCCAATAGTTTTAAAGCTGTCTCTAGAGGATCTTCCAGAATAAATACCAGATCGTCCGCAAAGGCTTGCAATTTAAATTCTTCCCTTTTGACTTTCATTCCTTTTATATTTTGGTCCTCTCTGCTTTCAGGTCTTTTTTCAATCTCTATGGCTTCTCTGATAATTCTGTGGCTGGGGTTTTCTATAGTGGCTAGGGTTTTGGTGCCATTGAAGTTGATGCTATGACCTGTGGCTTTCATGTGTTGGACTAGTGAGGAAGTGTGTTCCAGCTTTTTTACTGCATTTTTGTGTTCATCTAGTTTGTCGAACACAATACAGAAGCCGGATGATGGCAGATGAGATTCTGCTGAAATGTTGCTACAACTTTAAAAGCACAACTATAATGACGTGGGAAAATACCCAAACAAAGCTGAATATCATACATATAAATACCTGCGAAAACTTAAGAAAACATATATAAAATATATATTTGCCTACTGTATTATCTGAATACAGATCCTATGGTGCAGTGTAACATGTGAACCCACAAAATTAGGCTTAATGCAGTAAAACATCATTCAGTTTATGTTGACATGGATTATTTTCTTTCCTCCAAGCTATTTTTTCCATTCCTTGGAACTTCTCACTATATTGCAGTTGGAAATTATGAGTAGATGTGATCCTCCACGTATTTTGATCTCATTACTTTTAGGTTGGGTTCATTCATTATGCTAAGCCATAAAATGATTCATTTAGTTTTGGCTTAGCTTGTTGTAGTGAATCAAATTAACTGTTGTTTATTATGGTTTAGTACAATTCATGAACCAAATCATGGTCTTTATTTGTAAAACTCAGAATTCATTTGAACTTGGAGTAATGGTAGTAAGGCAGCATACATAAATCAGGTTCAGAGTAATATACTTCTAAAAGCAAACTCCAGAAACTGCTATGGCATTGTGCTTTTCAAATGCAGGGACATGCATAGCACATTGCAAATCTAATCAATTATATAGGGTTAATGCCTGATCTAATTAACACAGATAGGATATAGGCAGTAGATACTAAATCAGGGGTGTCAAACTCGCAGCCTGCGGGCTGGAGGTGTCACATGCTGGCCATGCCCGCAAAGGGGGAAGTTCCTATATGTCATGTGATGATGTGACTCCACAAGTTTGACTCCCCTGTACTAGATGAAGCTGAGTGAATGCCCTCCTAGATGTATTTGCCTCCTAAAAAACTAGGAGAAAGCTAGGAATGCAAAATATCTTTAAGCTATGTATATAGCCTGTTCTTCAAGAGAATGCAGTACAGGCTAGCTAGAGGTTTCTGTTTCTGCTTTTCTACTGATGTTGTATATATGAAAGGATTATGTATTGCCATGCAGTTGAAACTTGTGTGGGTTGGATTAGAAAATTTGTATCTGCTGGTGGACATATTCCTTCCAGTTCCTAGTGGACAATGGATTTTCCTTGGGAACAGCAGGACAGAAGGAAATCATTAAACTTTTCTCTCTACCTACCATAGTCATTATTCTGATTGAAAATATGCACCTGTTATTTTGTTACTGTTAATAGTGTGTTCAGCTGAATTAAGTTTAAATTCAGATTAGAAACAATCTGTTTATAATCCATAAGAAAATGTTTGAAGTTAGAGAATTTTACTGCACCATAAGTTGTTGGGTTTTAAAATATATAGCTAGCTAGGGGCTAAATGAATTTGTTAAACACTTTTTTTCTCTGAAGTTCAGGTATTTCCTATACACGATGACTTTCTGAGGTATAGGTCTGAATTTAGAAACTGCTTTTTATGTGCTATGAATTTAGATGCCTAATTTCTTGGCAGGAATGGATAGTATGTGAAGCTATCACTATGTTATTAAAATCATAGATTGCATGACACATCACACATTAAATCACAAACCAGCCAACCACAGCACAGCTCCTCAGCCGTGGGAGAGCTATTAAGCTCTTGCTTCAGTGTACAGCCTCTTAATAACGTTTGGCTGGAATACCCTTTGCAAAAAGGGTATTCTAGCCAAACGTTATATTCCTCATTCTGCTTCATAAATGCAATAGTTAAAGCTTGCTTTTCTTTCTTACCCCTCACCTTTCTTAAAGCAACTTTTAAGCAGGGGAAAAAATCGAAACCGTAATAACACATTGCCTTCTGAAAGGCGAAACCATGTGTAAGCATCCCAAGTTTGGGATGGACTTGTTAAAAAAAGAAAACAGGCAGGTTCTTCCCAGGTGCGAGCTGAGCAGGTAGATTCTAGCCAGATGCTGTCTAAAAACGATAGGGGACGTGGCTGAGCCCCTTTCGCTGAAAAAGAACAGCTGGGAAAGAGACGGGCTAGGGGGAAAGGCTGTGGGAGGAGTGCGCGCAGTGCAGAGAGGGTTGGCCGCCGTGAAGCTGGCATCATCGGCGCATCAGCGGAAAGGGAAGTCGGAGGGCGTGCACACCCCCTGCTCGGGCGGGCCCCTAAGCAAGCAAGGGTAGAAGGGAAAGATTTGAGCTCTGGATAGCCGATCTGGACCAATCGGCCTCCCAGCCCAGGTTGCTGGCTGAAGACGCCTGGTCTTTTGCTCCATGCAATGCACCGCCTTCCTTAGCACGATGCAACGGGCCGGAGGAGGAGCGGCCGCAGCAGCAGCAGAGCCCGGAGGAGGAGGTGACAACGGCGGCGAGGCGGTTGCAGCAGCAGCGGCCTCTTATCGGGTGTTGAGTCGCTTACTGGGGTACGGCGGAGCAGAGTCAGCCGCCGCCGGCTTGGGGTTGAGCAGAGCTGTCGGAGAGACTGCCGCTATTGCAACTCGGGATCGCGGAAGGGCGGGCGGGTTGCGGGGCTCGCAGCTTCTGGTCTTCCGCCCTGGAGAAACCGGAGAGTCCTCGGCTGGGTCCCCAGTTGGCTGTCTGCCTCCTCCGCCACCGCCACTGCCTCAGCCACCCCCGTCGGAGCTCCTGTGTGCTAGGCATCGTTGTGCTCTCCTGGATGCTCCTAAGGGCGAGCCAGGAGGGGGACGATGCTGGAGCGGAACGCCGGGTGGTTTCATTTTCCCTCCAGGAGCCGACCTGGAGTTACAGCTGGCGGCTCTGGGGCTTCATCAAGCACCTCCGACGGTGCTAGGAGGGCTGGGCAAGCCTTCCGGCGATTGCTCCTGCATGAGCCTCGTGCCTCAGCCGGCGATGGCCCCGCCGCCCACTCTGTCCTTGTTACCCCCGGGGGAGGACACCAGCGACGCCCTGCTGGTGCTAGAAGCTCTGGGACCTGACGAGGAGGATGAGGAAGAGACGGCTGCAGGGCAGGCCGAACCCTCCAGTAACACCAGTATGGGGAGCAGCCGCGTCCAGTTGCCCGCTGCAGCCGTCCAGGTGCTCGCTGCTGCTGCCGCTGCTGCCGCTGCCTCTGTTCCTCCTCCTCCTCCTTCGGCAGGCCCGGTACCCGCCGTTGCTACCCCGCGTCCCAGCTCTTCGGCCCCCTCCAGGAAAGGTTCCTTAAAGGTTCGCCTCAGCCGCCTTTTCCGCACCAAGAGCTGCAGTGGGCCGTCCTGCAACGCCGGGGCGGCCGCTGGAGCACGCCGGACCGGAGAGAGGGAACTTCTTCAAGCCGCTGCTGCCCCAGCCCCCTCGGGCACGGCAGGAAGCCTCCCCGATGTGTCTCAACCTGGCTACCGGGAACAGGACTCGAGCAGGTGAGGAGACGCTGGACAGCTAAAGGAAGGAAGGAGAGTTGAGCACGCTGGTGTTCCGCTGCATCCATCTGGTAGGGGACAGACTGAAAGGGAGCATTAGGGTGGGCGAAGTGGATATGGAAACTGCTGCCTTGCAAGCATCTCCAGCACTTTTTCCTTCAGCCTCAGTTGTGGAATTGTCAAGTACTTGGAGAAGTGTTTGATGCCTTTTTTTAATGATTATTATTAAATTCAGTCTTTGAACTCTGAGGTAACACCTCCAGATCTTTTGGTCTATAGTCCCAGTTAGCATGGCAAGTCCTCAGTAGTGCAGATATTGAAGGGAAAATATCTCAAGGCTTCCATATTTTCTACACCATTGGCTGTTTTTGTCCAGTGTTTGAAATGGAAAGGATCCAGTTGTATTTGTAATGTATTCCCAAGCCTGTTGGAAGGAATTCACTGACCATATTCTACCATCACTTCTCATTGGTAGACATGCTTTGCCTTGTCCCATATTCAGTCTTTGGTATCTCGAGTTAAAAAGATTCAGATGGCACATAGTGCGGTAGAGGTTTTACTTGGGATCTTGGAGTATTGCAATATTAATCAGCATAAATAGCTTTTACAATTTTGATGTCCAGTTGTAAAGAAAAGTAGTAAAACCTTATAAAGCTGATTACCTTACATTAAATTAAATGGAAAAATGGATAGTTACGACTGCATCTGAACACCAATTTCATTATTGGTGAATTTTTCTGTTCATTCCTGTTCAATTCTTGGAGACTTGCCTGGACAAGTCTTTATAGTTTTCTTGGCAAGTGATTTGCCATTGCCTCCTTATTAGAGCTGAGAGTAACTGGTTGGCCCAAGGTCACCCAGCTGGAGCTGTGCCTAAGGCAGGACTAGAACTCACTCTGTTTCTAGCCTTAACCTTTACACCAAACTGGTTTGTTGGTAACATGTCCTTAGAAAATGGTCAGAGAGCCAATTTTTCCAACTGTTTACAAATGTTGCCCTTAAGGGACCTAATTTAAAAAGAAATAGGAACCAAGGTTGTTTTACCCCCTCTGCCTGTGGGATTATGAGTGCGGTAAAACTGTAGTACTAGGGACTGACTGACTAGAGGACTTTTTCTTGTGTGTGATACAAATCAGGGTGATAAAAAAAGATGATGAAACATGTCATAATGTTACAGTGCAAATCAGCCCTTACATTGGGATGTATATATGTGGTTTATAACATGCATTTTTTTGGTCATTTGTTACCTTCTGCAAATGTCTCTGAAGTGACTGAAGTTGGCTTCTTTAATAGAAGGGCCTTACTATGACAATTTCTAGTGATTGTTGGAAGGATTTGTGATTCTGAGCTTGTTTTAAAACATTCATTCAGAAGAAGTGTTTTGCTCGTTAAGTCTATGTCTACTGCCTTCCACAGCTCTGAAATGTCAATAGATTAAGACAACCTATTACTATTTCTACTGGATTTCATATGGATTTTTTCATAGATTGACATTGCCTGGTGACATAGTACTAGTTAGTTTAACTTTAATCTGTCCACTTTATAGGTTCACATACCATTTTAAACTATAAACTAGCCACAAACTGAGTTGCTCAGCCTGTTTGGGTGAAAGGTGATGGGATAGATTGTAGTTTATACAAATATTTATACAAATTTGAGAAGAAAAGACACTGAATTTTGTAAGGTGCTGACTAAATTTGCTGGCTCTGGATTAAAATACATACATAGAGTGATGGTATTCACTTGGCTTAGTTGTTTTTTCCAACAGTTTTCCATTTTGTTTTTTATGCTTCTAGATATGTTGGACTGCCATTCTCTTCATTCACTTCTGTTTTGGCACTTACAATTCTGTGTTTTTGGAGGGAGCCAAAGACTAAACTATCTCATTATCAGATCTAGCACTTTGCCTGGGTTGTGAATCAAACTAATTAAGATCGTTTACTCGTTTCATTTTGGGGTGTTATCTGGATCTGTAATTAGGCCTCCCTTCTGCTTTCTGGACATAGAAGCAAGGAAGTAAAGCAGTTATTAAATGAATTTGCCATAGCCTCATCTCTTTTTCTTCTATTTCCTTTTTCTGATCCCTTTCTCCCTCCCTCCTTCCCTCCCTCTCTTTCTGTAAGACGTTGGGTGTTGTGCCTTTTTGACATGGTTGCCATTTCCTCTTTTTTCTTAGATAGCAAAATATCTTGGGATAGCAGTTTTGAGTCAGAAGACTTAGTGTTAATAGAAGTTTAAGCAAGAATTAATTTATTATGAAATCATCTATTAATAAAGCCATGTTCTCTTTGAAATTGGACTTCCAGATTAGCTAAACTGAAAAGTCATGGATTGACTTCTTCTGTTCACCAGTGACAGTTTTTGGCTGTGTGTTCACTTATATAAAAGTTTAGCAAAAATATGTAATGTAGTGTTTGTACAACATGCTACGTTTATCTTGTTGTTTTTTACTGTGATTGTTTTGTGTGGGTTAGTCCTTAGCTTAGTATATTTTGGTCTGGCAAGCCTAAAAAATGAATTCTTAAAATGTATTGTCTGAGATACTGTATCGGTAGATACTGTATTTGGTGAAGAAGGTTCCATCATGGAGCGTTCCGTAGTAATCAAAATTACTAAGGCAAAAGATGTCCCCAACTTGTCAAAAACTTTGTTTTCTAGGGGAATGAACTGGGTGTATATATGAGGAAAATGCATTTATTTTTTCTTTCTAGTTTGTTGAGGTGCTGTATCTCAGATGACATGTGAAGAGTGGGCAATATTGTTTGGCCTTAGGTTTAATTGTCTTAAAAAGTTTATTATTAATATGTTGTTGAAGCATACTCCGATCCTCTTTCACTGATGTGAGTTGAAATTCAGCAGTTTGATGTTATTCATTTGTGATGAATAACACACCTTTTCAAGAAACCTTGGCTTTTGTGACATTTCAGGCAACTTAAAAATAGTGTAGACTATACAGAGAAAGAAAAAGTAAACCCACTTTTCAGTACATATGCTCAATCCTCCCTTTCTCTTTCTCTGCATTATAGAGGGTTTTTTAAAAGTTGCTCTATAGGTTTTTCACTTTTTAATTGTCCCACCCGCCTTTGGTGTTAATAGAAAAATGGAATATAAATTGAAACAATAAATGGGCAGCCTGATGTCCAAAGAATTGATTCCTTTAGCTAACCTCCTTTATTCTTTTTATAGGCAAGAGGAAATAAAGTGAAGAGTTTATGGTATAGTTGAACCAGTTCTTATTGTGGATATAGATAAAAGGAGAGGTAAATGCAATGATATCTATTTATAGACTCTTTTGTCTATATTTTTTATAGAAAACAAAGACTGATGCGAACACAAAGTGCCTTTTCTCCAGTTGCTTTTGGTCCCCTCTTCACAGGTAAGTGTTGAGTCTGATGTTTCTCTTTCTCTTTCACTCTTATTAAAGGAAGTCCTATAGTTTTACTCAATTTTGCATACATAACATGTTGCTATTAGACCAGAGTTCCCCCACCTTTCTGGGTTATGGCCTGGAGCCGGAGGGGGGGGGAGGATGATTTTGTAGGAGGGGCAGATGCATGTGCACACGCACCCGTGATGTTCACAGTGACACTCATGCGAGTTGGGCTCCAAATGTCTGCAATGAGGTTCACTCAAGTGCAGCCGTGAGCACCCACAACGAGACTGACATGAATAAGGCCGCAAGTATCCTCGGCAACGCTTGCATGAACGGGGCTGTGCACAGATGCAGAGTGGGACCGGCGGCCTGATGGCAAGTAGACCATGGCCTGGTTGGGGACCCCTATATTAGACTATGAGTAATGCTATTGATTAAAAAAATAGCTAGTTTTGAAGTGATTTTGATTTTTGAACAAAATTTTTTAAATACCATGAATATATATTTTCTCATTCCCAGTCAAAAAAGTCTTCTATAGACTAGCTTTGCCCATCCAGATAATATTCATGTGTTGAACTTCATGTTTGATAATCCTCAGATATCATGAGGGAAGACTCTTATAAAGAGGCTTTCTCTTAAAGAACCTATCCCAGTGTCCAGAACGCTCACAGAGTAAATTGAATGAGAAATTGTCTAGCTGTCCATCATAAAATAAAATAAAATAATATTAGTAGTGATCACTAAGTATTCGATTAGGTTTCTCCCCTAGAATCCAGAAGAGTCCTGTTGCCCAAATTCAGGTAGCAATCTCTTTGTTAACATCTGATTTCTAATTAAGCATGTCTTTGCTTTTAGCTGAAGACAAAAATCTAATTCTGAAATCAGCTGAGATAACACGGAATCAGTTCAGATTAAAATACATATACCAGTGTCTTTGAAGACATTAGCTTTTCCCATAGAATCCCAAATCTGCCATAGAATTATAGCCAAGGAAACATGAAGGGAAAAAATGTTCTTTCTAATTTCTAAGTAATATAACAGCAAGCAGGGCATGTCTTAGTGAATTTGCAGAAAATTCCAACAATTTTAAGGTGAAGATTTTAAAAGCATCTTTTCCTTCTGGACAGATGACATGGTTGGAATCCAGAGAGAGTACTATAATTCCAGATCCAAGGACATGATTTGGTCACACCGTTTTGCATAAAAAGCAAATGTTAACCTTCCCAAGGAAACAATACTTTAAAAAAAAAATCTCACTGGATTTTGTTGCTTTCATTCTGAAATATCACAAGAATTTGATGTGTTTAGGTGAAAGTTCACAAGATGTTGACATATTTGGGCAATATTGAGACCTGGCTTTGAGATTTGGAAGCTATCTGCCTTCTGTCTGTTCCTGTCAGCCATTTAGCTATGGTTCTTGAATATTTCCTTCAGCTTTTGCATATGTCTGAGGACTCGGGGATGTGGAATTATGGTCAGGGTGCTTGAAGTTTTGTACCTACTAAGTATTTGGATTGCAGACATAAATCCAGAAGCTGTTTTCAATGTTGGACACATTGCTATACCATATGACAGGAGTATCTTTTATTCGGTGTGAGGTAGAATACTATACAGGTAGTCCTCGATTTACAGTCACAATTGAGCCCAAAAATTCTGTAGCTAATTGAGGTAGTTGTTAAAGTGAATTTTTCCTCATTTGTTAAGTGAATCTGACTTTTGCTTGTCAGAAGGTCGCACAAGTTGATCACATGACCCCAGGACACTGCAGCCATGATAAATATGAGTCAGCTGCCAAGTGTCTGAATTTTTATCACATGACCGTGAGGATGTTTCATTGGTTGTAAGTGTGAAAAATGGTTATAACTCACTTTTTTTCAGTGCCATTGTAACTTCAAATGATGACTGAATGAACTATTGTTTCATTACCTGTATTTCCCCAGCCCAATTCACAAGAGATTGCCTTTGCTATTTGTGGTTGTAAACAAACATCTGCTTGTTAGTAAGTTTGTGTTCTTTGCTTCTTAAAGGTTTTGGAGACAAGCTATGGATATTCACAGATGTGTATGAAATACAACACTATTCTGCACCCTCAGATACAGATTGAATACTATTTCATAATGCAACATTTGGCTCAGATATTCCCTTAGTGCAATTTGCTTCAAGTTTGAAAGTCAGCTAAATCCCCCCCCCCCCAAATGTGTTCTACTGTACTTTACTAATTTATTTGATTCTTTTTGTTAGTTTTTATTGTTTTTTATTTTTATTTTTTGTTTTAAATATGGTTTTACATTGTGTAAGCCTCCTTGAGTCGCCATGGGTGAATAGCGGCAATATAAAATAAATAAATAAATCCTTGAGTTTAATTATTCATAAGCAAGGGAAGTGACCCTACTTATATAATGGCTTTTGGCTTTAAAAATGGCCCACAAGATAGCTCTTGAGACAAAGAATATTAAAACATAACAATTTTTAAGAGTTCAGCTGAGTTAAAATCTTCTGTTTGTAGTTAAATTCCTTAAAAATAAGTTGATACATGTGACTGTCCAAAATCATGGAGAGTCAAAGTACCGTAGCTCAGTGATCCCCAACCTTTTTTATGCCGCGGCCCGGTACCGGCATCAGCTGGGCGCCGCGGCCCGGTACCGGCATCAGCTGGGCGCCATCTTTTTTTGATGAAAAAGTGCTTCCGGTGAGCTTTCTACCCGGAAAAGCTCACCGGAAGCACGTTTTCATCAAAAAAAGATGGCGGCGCCCAGCAACCAGTGGCCCGGTAGGACTTGTTCCGCGGACCGGTGGTTGAGGACCCCTGCCGTAGCTTATTTTCCTTTGGAAGGGAATTTCATAGCCATTGTGCTACCACAAAAAGGCTCTGTTTTATATTCCTACTAAACAATTATTTTGGTTCATATAGAAAGGTCTCTGAAAGACGATCAACTTCTTAAGTCATTATCATTTGAAAGACATAGTCCAGAAAGCAATCTGTTTTCCACTCATTTAACTAGTGATAGTTTTGGAACACTTTTCAAGAGTAGCCTGTGTGTCTGCATTGTAGCAAATTTAATTAGGAATCAACCATGACATATGCTTGGGGTCAGAGATTGCTCTGATATTAGACCTACATTTCTGACATGAACAATAATGCTCAAATGTGCCAGATGAAGTTACATTTACATTAAGCTTCAAAGCATTTTCCCCTTCCTTTCTCTCTCCAGGGGAGACAGTATCACTGGTAGATGTTGATATCTCTCAGCGTGGCCTGACATCACCACATCCTCCAACACCTCCACCTCCTCCACGGCGAAGCCTCAGCCTTCTGGGTAACTACTTGCTTCTTTATCTGCTTTTTTTTTTTCTCCAAACTGTATTTTCACTAGCATCTTTCAGTAGTAGAAGACGGTGGCCATCTTCCTCAGCCTTGAAATAATGCTTTTGAATACAGTCTGTCTTTGTTTAGAGACCACAGTTGGGAATGTCATCTCAGTCACAGTCACTAAGTAAACTGCAACTGTGCTTACGATCTGACTTCAGCTTTCTTAGGCTTGACACACTTAAGAGGTTGTTAAGTTACTTTTTCATTGCTGTCATAACTTCATATGGTGGTTATATGAGGAGGTAACTAAACAGGGACTACCAGGGGTGGGCTTCAAAAATTTTAGCAGTGGGTTCTCTGCCTGGTTGCTGGTGGGTGTGGTCATGGTGGGCGTGGCCTAATCGGCCTTCTGCACCACTGTGGGGGTGGGGTGTTACCCTCCCTGGGCTCCGGAGGCTTTCCGGGAGGGTGAAAATAGCCTCCCCAGGCTCTGGAGGCTCTCTGGAAGCCAGAAAAGGGCCCATTTCCAACCTTCCCGAACTTCCGGGTGGCCTGTTTTTCACCCTCCCCAAGCCTCTGCACGCGACCTGCACTTACCTGCATCCAAAGCAGGTAAGGGGCCTGGGAGGGGCGGGTGGGTGGGACCAGCCAGGAATGGGATTTGGGGATTCTCCGAACTGCACAGTATCTTAGCTAGGGCCTCTCCTGAACCCCTGCGAATCCCCAGCAGCCCACCCCTTGGGGACTACCGTTAAGAGGATTCCCTTGGAATTCTTTATACCATACTACCCTGTTTCTCCAACAATACGGCCTCCCCCAATAGGAAGTCCCAGCATGTTTTATAGGCATGAAATGAAATTAAGCCCCTCCCCCCAAATTAAGGCCTATATTAAAACAAGCGAAATGTTGGGGAATGGTGGGGGGGCTTGCCGTTAGGAAGTACTTTTGTTGCACACCCGGATATGGTGCTGCCTGCATTGACTCCAATATGAAGTGCCCCACCAACGCCGAGGTCAACATCCAAGCCATCGCCGCCCGCCCGCCCGAAGATACAAGGGGGGGGGGGAATTAAGTCACCCCCGAAAAGACGGCTTAGCCATTTTTGGGGGGCTCAAAAAAAAAATAAGACCCGGCCTTATTATATGAGAAACACGGTATCTAATCTCCTTTAAAAAAAAAGAATTATTTAAAAGCAATAATTTATATATTCTCAGTTCTGTAACTATTCTGGTTTCTTTTTTCCTACTCTCAAATCCACATTCAGAGCTAAATTCTTCAACTCCACAAATCATGTGAATTTGCCTATATTCCATAATTCTGTTTCTGCTGGCCATGGGAAATATATCATGAACACCAACAGCTCTTTCGCTTCCCTTTCTGAGTGTTTGGCTCAGTACTCCCGTTGGTTTCTCAGATTCTGTCTAACCTTTTCTTTGTCTTTTTTTTTTTTAATCCGATGTGGACAGTAAGAAGATCTACTCATTTATGTCTTATGGTGGTTAATGCCACGATAAAGTTATGTAAAGTGAATTATTTGTAATCTTGTGCTTCTGCCTTTAACAACCTTCATTTCTGAGCATTTGAAGCCACCCAGGGAACATTATTTACTTATATTGGAATAGACAATGTTTTATAATTAGAGGCATCAACAAAATTTGGTTTGTTGGGAGATGCATCACAGTTACAGAAGCAGTAGGATTGGAATTACTGATTTAAAAAAAAAATTAAGGTAGTAGGCTTTATATTGTATTGTATTATATTATAATATGTATAATATAATAATATATAATATAATATAATTAATATAATATAATATAATATAATATAATATAATATAATATAATATAATATAATATAATATAATATAATATAATTAATATAATAATATAATAATATAATATAATATAATATAATAATATAATATAATATAATATAATATAATATAATATAATATAATAATAATATAAT